CCTGAAACCTAGGACTGCAAGCAAACATTGAATACAAAGCAAATAAAGTTGGAGCTCCTGGTACAGCTGTACCAGAACACCAGTGTTTTGGACTTCAACTCCCACAATTCCTAATAGCCTATTGGCTGTTATATACTTTAATTGTCCAGAGCTGTAGCTTTCTGGCGAATAAATAATCTCGCAAACAAAGTTGCAAGGCTTTAATTCAAAAGCATGCATTAGGGAACACAACAAAATTCCAACTGACAGTTTATTTCCCTCACGCCTCACCCTGGCCCCTCCCTTGTATTGCTCCTGTTTCCATGGCAACCCTCTCCCAGATTTCAAATATACACAGGACAGGTCTAAGGCATGGCCTAATTTCCTGGCTTCACACAAAACCAGGAAATAAGGTCACGACACTAATGACATATTCCTAGTATTACTGTGAGCGAAAGAATTCAGTGGTGTTTACTTCTGATCGCTAAGGTTCAGGAATCAGCTTGCTATAAGAAGCCAAAATCTAGCCTTCTACATCACTTAGTTGAAAGCGGAAGCCCATGTAAGGGAGAAAATATATATAAATTCCCAGATTAATCATTTTATTCCCCAGCTTCCTCATATTAATTTCTCAGCAACCATCATAGAACTTGAAAGACTTGTTGTTGCATTGACTTGCCAAAGCAAAGGGAAGCCATTGTTTTCTCTTTGCCGGGTTGTATCACGATCCCAAAGCTCTTGTTGTTGTTGTTGTTGTTTATTCGTTCAGTTGTTTCCGAATCTTCGTGACCTCATGGTGCTGCCATTGGTGGGGTTCAGAATGCTCTTTGATTGTAGGTGAACTATAAATCCCAGTAACTACAACTCCCAAATGTCAAGGTCTATTTTCCCCAAACTCCATCTGTGTTCATATTTGGGCATATGGAATATTTCTGCCAAGTTTGGTCCAGATCCATCATTGTTTGAGTCCACAGTGCTCTCTGGATGTAGGTGAACTACAACTCTCAAACTCAAGGTCAATGCTCACCAAACCCTCCCAGTATTTTCTGTTGGTCATGGGAGTTCTGTGTGCCAAGTTTGGTTCAATCCATCATTGGTGGAGTCAGAATGTTCTTTGATTTTAGGTGAACTATAAATCCCAGCAACTACAACTCCCAAATGACAAAATCAATATTTTGAGTGATGGTCACTCCATTGGGTTGTTAGGTGTCTTGTGTCCAAATTTGGTGTCAATTCGCCTAGTGGTTTTTGAGTTATGTTAATCCCACAAACGAACATTACATTTTTCTTTATATAGATTACATTTCATTGGGCCCCCTGGTGGCCTTCACCTTTACTTCAGGTGAAACCTTTACCTTTACTACATTTTATTAAATACAGTTGTCATATAGTATTGTGTAGCCCCAAAATACGTAGTTTTCAACAACCTTCTTCAGTCAATGGTTGGTGTTTGGACAGATTAATCCTTCAATCCTATTAGCTTTTGAAAAACACATAGAATTCATAGAGTTGGAAGAGACCTCATGGGCCATCCAGTCCAACCCCATTCTGCCAAGAAGCAGGAATATTGCATTCAAATCACCGACAGATGGCCATCCAGCCTCTGTTTAAAAGCTTCCAAAGAAGGAGCCTCCACCACACTCCGGGGCAGAGAGTTCCACTGCTGAACGGCTCTCACAGTCAGGAAGTACTTCCTCGTGTTCAGATGGAATCTCCTCTCTTGTAGTTTGAAGCCATTGTTCCATGCGTCCTAGTCTCCAAGGAAGCAGAAAACAAGCTTGCTCCCTCCTCCTGTGGCTTCCTCTCACATATTTATACATGGCTATCATATCTCCTCTCAGCCTTCTCTTCTTCAGGCTAAACATGCCCAGCTCCTTAAGCCACTCCTCATTGGGCTTGTTCTCCAGACCCTTGATCATTTTAGTCGCCCTCCTCTGGACACATTCCAGCTTGTCAATATCTCTCTTCAATTGTGGTGCCCAGAATTGGACACAATATTCCAGGTGTGGTATAACCAAGGCAGAATAGAGGATGGGTTATTAGTTATTTATTGTATTGTCGAAGGCTTTCATGGCCGGAATCACTGGGTTGTTGTAGGTTTTTTTTGGGCTATATGGCCATGTTGTTCTAGAGGCATTCTCTCCTGACGTTTCGCCTACATCTATGACAAACATCCTCTGAGGTAGTGAGGTCTGTTGGAACTGGGAAAAAAGGTTTCTATATCTGTGGAATGACCAGGGTGAGACAAAGGATTCTTGTCTGCCGGAGCTAGGTGTGAATGTTTCAACTGACCACCTTTATTAGCAATTGATTGCCTGGCAGTGCCTGGAGCTCTATAACCCTGAGAGGTGATTAGCTCTATATAGCTCTATAACTGTGTAGACCAGAGTTTCTCAACCTGGCGGTCAGGACCCCTAGGGGGGTCGTGAGGGGGTGTCAGGGGGATAAGCCATCCAAAGTCAAAAGAGAGAGAAGGCTGTATTGTCGAAGGCTTTCATGGCTGGAATCACTAGGTTCTTGTGGGTTTTTTTCGGGCTTATAGGGCCATGTTCTAGAGGCATTTTCTCCTGACGTTTCGCCTGCATCTATGGCAAGCATCCTCAGAGGTAGTGAGGTCTGTTGGAACTAGGAAAAAGGGTTTATATATCTGTGGAATTACCAGGGTGGGACAAAGGACTCTTGTCTGCTGGAGCTAGGTGTGAATGTTTCAACTGACCACCTTGATTAGCATATAATGGCCTGGCAGTGCCTGGAGCAATCTTTTGTTGAGAGGTGATTAGATGTCCTTGTTTGTTTCCTCTCTGTTGTTGTGCTGTTCTAATTTTAGAGTATTTATTAATACTGGTAGCCAGATTGTGTTCATTTTCATGGTCTCCTCCTTTCTGTTGAAATTGCCCACATGCTTGTGGATTTCAATGGCTTCTCTGTGTAGTCTGACATGGTGGTTGTGAGAGTGGTTCAGCATTTCTGGAGCAATCTTTTGTTGAGGTGATTAGATGTCCCTGATTGTTTCCTCTCTGTTGTTTTGCCGTTGTAATTTTAGAGTTTTTTTTAACACTGTTAGCCAGACTTCATTTTCATGGTTTCCTCCTTTCTGTTGAAATTGTCCACATGCTTCATGTGGATTTCAATGCCTTCTCTTATTGTTATTGGGTTGTTGTAGGTTTTCTGGGCTATATGGCCATGTTCTAGAGGCATTCTCTCCTGACGTTTCGCCTGCATCTATGGCAAGCATCCTCAGAGGTAGTGAGGTCTGTTGGAACTAGGAAAAAGGGTTTATATATCTGTGGAATGACCAGGGTGGGACAAAGGACTCTTGTCTGCTGGAACTAGGTGTGAATGTTTCAACTGACCACCTTGATTAGCATTTGATTGCCTGGCAGTGCCTGGAGCAATCTTTTGTTGAGAGGTGATTAGATGTCCTTGTTTGTTTCCTCTCTGTTGTTGTGCTGTTCTAATTTTAGAGTTTTTAAAATACTGGTAGCCAGATTTTGTTCATTTTCATGGTTTCCTGCTTTCTGTTGAAATTGTCCACATGCTTGTGGATTTCAATGGCTTCTCTGTGTAGTCTGACATGGTGGTTGTTGGAGTGGTCCAGCATTTCTGTGGAGCAATCTTTTGTTGAGAGGTGATTAGATGTCCTTGTTTGTTTCCTCTCTTCTCTGTGTAGTCTGACATGGTGGTTGTTGGTGTAGTCCAGCATTTGTGGAGCAATCTTTTGTTGAGAGGTGATTAGATGTCCTTGTCTATTATTATTATTATTATTATTACTAGGAAAAAGGGTTTATATAGCTGTGGAATGACCAGGGAGGGACAAAGGACTCTTGTCTGTTGGAGCTAGGTGTGAATGTTTCAACTGACCCCCTTGATTAGCATTTGATGGCCTGGCAGTGCCTGGGGGAATCTTTTGTTGAGAGGTGATTAGATGTCCTTGTCTATTTTTATTATTATTATTATTATTACTAGGAAAAATGGGTTTATATATCTGTGGAGTGACCAGGGTGGGACAAAGGACTCTTGTCTGTTGGAGCTAGGTGTGAATGTTTCAACTGACCCCCTTGATTAGCATTTGATGGCCTGGCAGTGCCTGGGGGAATCTTTTGTTGAGAGGTGATTAGATGTCCTTGTCTATTTTTATTATTATTATTATTATTACTAGGAAAAATGGGTTTATATATCTGTGGAGTGACCAGGGTGGGACAAAGGACTCTTGTCTGCTGAAGCTAGGTGTGAATGTTTCAACTGACCACCTTGATTAGCATTTGATTGCCTAGCAGTGCCTGGAGCAATCTGTTGTTGAGAGGGGATTAGATGTCCTTGTTTGTTTCCTCTCTGTTGTTGTGCTGAATGGGTTTAATATCTGTGGAATGACCAGGGTGGGACAAAGGACTCTTGTCTGCTGGAGCTAGGGGTGAATGTCTCAACTGACCACCTTGATTAGCATTTGATGGCCTGGCAGTGCCTGGGGGAATCTTTTGTTGAGAGGTGATTAGATGTCCTTGTTTGTTTATTCTCTGTTGTTTTGCTGTTATGATTTTAGAGTTTTTTTTAATACTGTTAGCCAGATTTTGTTCATTTTCATGGTTTCCTCCTTTCTGTTGAAATTGTCTATTATTATTGCTGTGAGAAGGACTGTAGGAAGGGAAACAAACAGGCAGGCAGGGGAGGGGGCGGGGCTAGCTGATCAGGCCACGCCCCTTTCTCTCCCTGCGCCTGCGCGACCACGCCCCCTCCTTTCTGCGCCTGCGCGGCCCTGGCGCCGGGGCCCAGTCAGTGGCACAGCTATGAGAAGGGGCTGCTGGGCCGCTCCCGCTCTCTCCGCCGCCTTCGCCGCTTTCGCCAAGCCCGCCACCAGCCTCGTCCCCGCCGCCAGCTCTGGAGCGCCAGGCCGAGCCCGCCCCCTCGGGCCCCCGGAGCTCCCCGCAGGCCGAGAAGGAGGCGGAGGCGGAGAAGGCCAGGCCCCCGCCCCAGGCGCCGATCCATGGAGACAGGCCTCGCCCACGGAGGAGCCGAACCGAGAGCCGGAACCGCCTGCCAGGCCCGGCCTGAGGACGAGACACCCAGCCCCAGCCCCGGCCCACGCCGCCCTCGGCCTTGAGGAGGAGAATGGTGGGTGAGGAGGAAGGAAGCCAGCCTTCCCCCTTCACTATTAGTAGTATTAGTATTGTTATTATTGTTGTGTTTACTTTGTTTACTAGAGGAGGGCGACTCAAATGATCAAGGGTCTGGAGAACAAGCCCTATGAGGAGCGGCTTAAGGAGCTGGGCATGTTTAGCCTGAAGAAGAGAAGGCTGAGAGGAGATATGATGATTGCCATGTATAAATATGTGACATGGTCATTATTATTATCCATCATCATCATCATCATCATCATTATTATATGTGTCCAAAGGAGGGCGACTAAAATGATCAAGGGTCTGGAGAACAAGCCCTATGAGGAGCGGCTTAAGGAGCTGGGCATGTTTAGCCTGAAGCAGAGAGGGCTGAGAGGAGATATGATGAGAGCCATGTATAAATATGAGAAGGGAATAAATAAAGGATTATTATTATTATTAATGTGTCCAGAGGAGGGCGACTAAAATGATCAAGGGTCTGGAGAACAAGCCCTATGAGGAGCGGCTTAAGGAGCTGGGCATGTTTAGCCTGAAGAAGAGAAGGCTGAGAGGAGATATGATGAGAGCCATGTATAAATATGAGAAGGGATTATGTCGTAGGGAGGGTGACTAAATGATCAAGGGTCTGGAGAACAAGCCCTATGAGGAGCGGCTTAAGGAGCTGGGCATGTTTAGCCTGAAGAAGAGAAGGCTGAGAGGAGACGTGATTATTGCCATGTATACATATGTGAGAGGAAGCCACAGGGAGGAGGAGGGAGCAAGCCAGCCTTCCCCCTTCAGTATTATTAGTATTATTACTATTATTGTGTTTACTTTGACTCCTTCCTTCCTGCTTTTCCTCCCAATAAGAACCCCCTTAGGAAGGAACAACAACAATCCAGGCCCCTTGTAAAGCCCAGCCTGCTTTACTCGCCTGGAAGCTCTGGTAGTATATAATAATAATAATATAACAATGTGGTAATATAATACAATAATATATTGTATGTGTGTGTGTGTGTGTGTGTGTATATATATATAGGAGCCCCCGGTGGCGCAGTGGGTTAAAGCACTGAGCTGCTGAGCTTGTTGATCAAAAGGTCGCAGGTTCGATTCCGGGGAGCGGCGTGAGCTTCCGCTGTCAGCCCTAGCTTCTGCCAACCTAGCAGTTCGAAAACATGCAAATGTGAGTAGATCAATAGGTTCTGCCTGCGGGAAGGTAATGGCGCTCCATGCAGTCATGCTGGCCACATGACCTTGGAGGTGTCTACGGACAACGCTGCCTCTTCGGCTTAGAAATGGAGATGAGCACCACACCCCAGAGTCAGACATGACTGGACTTTAAATCTTTCCTCGCTTCTGCCTCACCCTCAAAATTATTTTTATTTTTATATATATATATATATATATATATATATATATATATATATATATATCTTGTAAGCTGCTCAGAGTCCCCTTTGGGGTGAGAAGGGCAGCATATAAATGTCGCAAATTAATAAATAATATAATTATATATTATTAAATATAATAATTGCATACTATCTATTACATCTAATCAGTAATAATCTATATAAATAAAAATGTAATGTTCATTTGTGGGATTAAAAGAACTCAAAAACCACTGGACAAATTGACACGTTAATTTGGACACAAGACACCTAATAACCCAATTTATTTATTTCTCGTGTCAGGGCAACCAGTCAATTATATTACATTTCTAACAGAAACAAACAAAATACAAAATTTGTGAGTTTGGTAATTGATTAAATGTCCTTTGACCAGTATCGGCCACTTGGAGTGCTTCTGGTGTTACTTTAAGAAGGTCCTCCATTGTGCATGTGGCAGGGCTCAGGTTGCATTGCAGCAGGTGGTCAGTGGTTTGCTCTTCTCCCCACTCACATGTCGTGGATTCCACTTTGTGGCCCCATTTCTGAAGGTTGGCTCTGCATCTCGTGGTGCCAGAGCGCAGTCTGTTCAGCGCCTTCCAAGTCGCCCAGTCTTGTGTGTGCCCAGGGGGGAGTCTCTCATTTGGTATCAGCCATGAATTGAGGTGCTGGGTTTGGGCCTGGCACTTTTGGACTCTCGCTTGCTGGGGTGTTCCAGCGAGTGTCTCTGTAGATCTAAGAAAACTATGTCTTGATTTAAGTCGTTGACATGCTGGCTGATACCCAAACGGGATGAGCTGGAGATGTCTCTGCCTTGGTCCTTCCACTATTGGCTGCTACTTCCCGGCGGATGTCAGGTGGTGCAATACCGGCTAAGCAGTGTAATTTCTCCAGTGGTGTGGGGCGCAGACACCCTGTGATAATACAATAATATATTGTGTGTGTGTATCTATCTATCTATCTATCTATCTATCTATCTTGTAAGCTGCTCAGAGTCCCCTTTGGGGTGAGAAGGGCGGCATATAACTGTCGCAGATTAATAAATAATCTATATAAATAAAAATGTAATGTTGGTTTGTGGGATTAACAGAACTCAAAAACCACTGGACGAATTGACACCAAATTTGGACACAAGACACCTAACAACCCAATGCGCTGCAGTTCAAAGCAGATCATCTGGATTCAGAAACTGGGTTATATGGCAGCATGGACGGTCGGGGCCAAAGTCAGGCTGCTTCCCCACCAAAGAGGGAGAGAGAGAGAGAGAAATTATTGTTGAATTATGGAATCCTAGAGTTGGAAGAGACCTCGTGGGCCATCCAGTCCAACCCCCTGCCAAGATGCAGGAAAATCGCATTCAAATCACCCCCGACAGATGCCATCCAGCTTCTGTTTAAAAGCCTCCAAAGAAGGAGCCTCCACCACACTCCAGGTTAAAGAGTTCTACTGCTTAACAGCTCTTACAGTCAGGAAATCCTTCCCAATGTTCAGGTGGAATCTCCTTTCTTGTTGTTTGAAGCCATTGTTCCGCGTCCTAGTCTCCAGGGCAGCAGAAAACAAGCTTGCTCCCTCCTCCCTATGGCTTCCTCTCACATATTTATACATGGTATCATATCTCCTCTCAGCCTTCTCTTCTTCAGGCTAAACATGCCCATCTCTTTAAGCTGCTCCTCATAGGGCTTGTTCTCCAGACCCTTGATCATTTTAGTCGCCCTCCTCCTCTGGAACATTCCAGCTTGTCAACATCCCCCTTCAATTGCTGTGCCCAGAATTGGACACAGTATTCCACGTGTGGTCTGACCAAGGCAGAATAGAGAAGCGCCATGAATTCCTTGGATTTAGATACTATAGACTCCTATTTATGTAGGTCAAAATCTCATTGGTTTTTAAGCCTATCTATGGCTTCCTCTCCTTCCTTTGAGGGTATTCATAACCTTCTTAAAATGATATTGCAGTACCTTCATAAAAATGATATCTGTACCTTCTTTGGTGATACCATTATTATGAGAGTTTTGGGATCAGAGGTGCTGGTTAGGAGGGGTCAAGCTTGTTTCCTGTTGCTCTGGAGACTATGACAAGAAGCAATGGCTTCAAGCTGCAGGAAAAGGGATTCCGTCTAAACACATCAGGAAGAACTTCCTGCCGGTAAGAGCTATTCAGCAATACAATATGCTGCTGTCTCGGAATGGAGTTCCCTTCCTTCTCTGGATGTTTTGAAGCAGAGACTGGATGGCCATCTGTTGAGAGTGCTTTGATTGTGTGTTCCTTCATGGCAGAAGGGGGATGGATGGGATGGTCCTTGGGGTCTCTTCCAACTATGAGGGGTGGAGGCCACGTCCTTCATTCCCTTTGCCCCCACTTCCAGGAGGTCAATTGGTCGCCACTGTGGAAGTGTATTGGGTCATCTGGTCAAAATTGGACTTTGGCTTGGTCTGGCAGGGAGCTTTCTTATGTTAACAAGAACCTGCCTCCCCCCCCCCTTTTGTTTTTCAAAGTGAACACTCTCATAAAAGGAAGAGCAGAGATATCTTTTTCTTTTCGTTTATGAGACTCATTCCTTATGCCATTTAAGCCCCAGGCTACTTTAAAAAGTAATCAGTTCTGCTGGGAATGCACTTTACGGGGCCAGTCTGTCAAAGAGAGAAGCCTTTCATTTTGGCAGTTCAGGAAAATTAAGCGTCTCTCTTATATTTCTTCATGCAGATGGCAATCTGAGATGTCTAGGAAATAAGAGAGTGTGGGGGAGGCAACAGGGTCTGGAGAACAAGCCCTATGAGGAGCGGCTTAGGGAACTGGGCATGTTTAGCCTGAAGAAGAGAAGGCTGAGAGGAGATATGATAGCCATGTATAAATATGTGAGAGGAAGCCACAGGGAGGAGGGAGCAAGCTTGTTTTCTGCTTCCTTGGAGACTAGGACGGAACAATGGCTTCAAACTACAAGAGAGGAGATTCCATCTGAACATTAGGAAGAACTTCCTGACTGTGAGAGCCGTTCAGCAGTAGAACTCTCTGCCCCGGAGTGTGGTGGAGGCTCCTTCTTTGGAAGCTTTTAAGCAGAGGCTGGATGGCCATCTGTCAGGGGTGATTTGAATGCAATATTCCTGCTTCTTGGCAGGGGGTTGGACTGGATGGCCCATGAGGTCTCTTCCAACTCTTTGATTCTATGATTCTATGATTTTGTCAAACCCTGTCATAGGTATTTGGCAACACAGGAAAAAAAGAACTTGTGGGTCACACAAACAAGAGAGGTCTTTGGATGTTTCCAGGCTGAATTTGAATGCAAAGCTCTCCTTGAGCATGCCTCTCAAATATGTTGGAAGGGATTGGGTGGACTCTGAAGCCACCCCCTCCCCAAGATTGCTATGGTCAACTCCATCCACATTTTGAAAATAAGACCAGTGCTCATTTTCAAAACTGTTGTAACTGAGGAAAGCTTGCCATTAGACCAAAAGTCAAAAGTTTCAAAGGTACCCTTGCCCAGTCCTTTGAAAATCTGTCTGAGGGTCGGCTGGATAACTCAAGTAATCAACTGAATTCAGTCGGTAGAATGAGGGTTTTCCATTACTGTCCCCATGTTAGTATGTTATAATAGCCATGTATAAATATGTGAGAGGAAGCCACAGGGAGGAGG